TTAATGAAATGAAATAAAACTTTTGCTCCTTTTCTCACTAGGGATATTTACATTGTCGTATGATCAGCAATAACAACAATTTTGCAATATATATAGCCCTAGACTAAATCACATATGACAATATGCGACATCATTAAGGCTGAGTAAAGAACATGATGCTCCAGACAAAAGCACCTTGCACACAGTTATACCAGTAAATCTCCGGAAAATTAACGGAACAACTTTACCGGTAAATAAAAAAAAAAAAAAAAAAAAAACACTGTTCTCACAGGCAAGGACGTTACGGAATTTTTCCAGAAAAGACCATTCTGAAATACTGGTATATTCTGACATCATTATCCAGAAATAAGCTTTAAACGCATGTGCTTGTATTTGTAAACACAGAAGAGGTTGGGCTTTTGTTGTTGGTTTATAATATGTGTGTGCTGGTGCTCACCGGCTTCAATGCACATGTGTCGAGCAACTGAAGCAGAGCTTGAAGGTAAACAAACAGCGGTTTATCATAAGCATTTTATCGATAACTTTTTTCACCTTTCATTAAGAAGTAGCATAGAAAAGTTGTCTGACTAACATCTAGCAGCTAAATCTGTCTGGAAAAATATTCAATAGCTTTTATTTTCATAAATTGCACGGATGTGAATGCGTTTGAATGTTCTGATTGGCTGGAGTAGACGTCTCACATCAGCACGTTCTAGACGTAAACGTTCTCATTCCGGCAATCTTCAGCAGCATTCCGGTAAATTACCGGTAATGTTACAACTTCTCTTTCTGGAAAGTTGCTAGAACGAATTTACCTGTATTTTCAAAAAGGGCCTGTTCACACATGATCCCTTTCCGAAAAATTGCCGGTAATTTTCCAGGAAAGGTCTGTATGTGTGAAAGGGGCTAAAGACAACAGGTAAAAACTGATGAACGTAGTCTCCACGTTTGGGTGTAACTTCATTGTAAACATTAGAGCTGCACTATTAGTCGTAAAAAGATTCAAATCTCGATTCAACCCCCTAGACGATCTTAATCCAGCATTTCTACGATTCTGTCATTCATATTTTCAAGTTCAGGAGAGAAGCAATGGTGGCTGCAAGTCTTCACATTGTTTTAAATACGTTGTTCAGCAACGTGGACACCTCTAAATGGTGTTGAAAGAGTCGCATGCTGTATTTATAAGATACAATTCACCTCAAAAATGTCATTTCTGTCTTCATGTAATGTATTTGCGGCCGCAAAATCACACGTGAGCTGACCTTCAGCTGTTACCACAGGGAGGGCAGGCGCACGCCTCTGAATAAAGTCTACTTTAGTGAACAGAACCTGCACAGACTGTGAATACCAGTATTAAAGTTGTAAATAACATTCAGTTTGTGGCACCGAGTGATCGTTTGGGAGCCGCGCGGGAAGTGAACCGCTCTTAGCAGTGAAAATGAAACCGAAAGCACACACAGTGTTGCCAGATGTAGCTGACTGATTTCAGCCCAAAAAGTATCCAAAACCGGCCGAAATGCAAATATACCCACCCAGTCTTCTGTATTTATGAAAATCTCGTCAGTGACAGATTTTAAGCTGAAAATACAGATTGTAAGCATATGTCTCAGACACAATTTAACATCAAAATGATCATCAGTGGCGAGGTAGTGGCGCAGTAGGCATTGCTGTCGCCTCACAGCAAGAAGGTCGCTGGTTCGAACCTCGGCTCAGACGGCGTTTCGGTGTGGAGTATGCATGTTCTCCCTGCCTTCGCGTGGGTTTCCTCCGGGTGCTCCTGTTTCCCCCACAGTCCAAAGACATGCGGTACAGGTGAATTGGGTAGGCTAAATTGTCCGTAGTGTATGAGTGTGTGTGTGAATGTGTGTGTGTGGATGATTCCCTGAGATGGCTGGAAGGGCATCCGCTGCGTAAAAACTTGCTTGATAAGTTGGCGGTTCATTCCGCTGTGGTGACCCCGAATTAATAAAGGGACTAGACAAGAAAATGAATGAATGAATGAATTACCATCAGCATTAATGACCAGGACAAATCTAAAGTCTGTTCAAGTCCACCATTCCAAGTCTATACAAAATTGAGCATTTTAACCAACAGTACAGCTACACAAAGCATATTGCTGTTTACCACATGTTTGAGAATAACTAATTATAGCCCACTCATATTAACCTTTATTTTACATCTACAGAATCGTGAGAAAATCGAGATCTTTATTTTAGGCAAAAAAATCGCTATACTCATTTTAGCCAGAATCGTGCAGCTCTAATACACATCATTATACACTTACTGTATGTCACTAGTAGACCATATCATGCCAAGTTAGACTGTGCTCTGAAGTACTAATTTAGTTCCCACAAACAGATACTAAAATAGTTCTTAGTTCCCATGGCGTAAACACTATGAAAAGCGGGTAATTCCTCTCATAGTTCTAGGAACTATTAAGACGTTCCTCTGGTGTGAACGCCACTAGGATTTCAAAGGGAAATCAGAGATGAGGGAATCACCCCCACCAGTGTGCTTTGTAAAAATATTTATTCTCATTGCTGTGTAGCTCCATGTGATCCCGCATGTATTTTCAGCTCTGTTATCCAATCTCCGCCACGCATAGAAGGGCTATATCCCTCTGCTATTTTCTCTCTCTGCTGAGTGTCGAACAGCATAGCACACCCGAGCAGTTATTTCCCCTCTACTTGTGGAAAGGACTAGTTCCCTAATTTATTTTGAACTGCACATGTTCCTCATCCTGTCGCATATTTACTATTTGTTTGATTGTCTTATCTGTCCGACGCATGCGTAAAATACACCCTGTGTTTGCTCGAGACTGGGTGGTGGACTTTTAAATAAGTGCTATAAATGTCCATAAGAAGTTACTGTGGGGTCCATCTGTTGGTTTTATTGCACGCATGCTTGTGTCATCATGATTGTAACCTGAAGAATGTTGTAACAGCTGTGAAACGACCTTTAAATCTCCCATGACCTCCAGCTTCAATCCACACTCTTGTTTGTAATCTTTAAACTCATGTTCACTCTAGGATGTGTATTTATAGACGTGTGCTATTAGCTACTTAATCACATCAGTAAAGAGACCCTGATCAGTAAGCGAACGGGGATTCACAAGCTGCACAATTAATGCGTTCCTAAATGACCTTCAAAACATATTCATCTTATTTAGCAGTACCCTCATAAAATAAATTTATAGTGTATGTATGTATGTATGTATGTATGTATGTATTTATCGTTGTGTGTTTTATATATATATATATATATATATATATATATATATATATATATATATATATATATATATATATATATATATATATATATATATATATATATACACATACATACATACATACACACACACACACACACACACACACTATATATATATATATATATGTGTGTGGGTGTGTGTGTGTATGTATGTATGTTTGTATATAATTGTGTGTGTGTGTGTATATACACTGTACATATACAGTATATATGCAAGTATTTAAGTATATGTGTATATGTGTGTGTGTGTGTGTGTATCTATCTATACATACATACATACAAATATTTGTGTGTGTGTGCGTGCGCATGTGTGTATGAATGTATGTGTGTTATTTATATATATATATATATATATATATATATGTGTGTGTGTGTGTGTGTGTGTGTGTGTGTGTGTGTGTGTGTGTGTGTGTGTGTGTGTGTGTGTATATATATATATATATATATATATATATATATATATATATATGTATATATTATTTTCGTATTATTAATAAGAAATAAGAGGTTATTTCTACAATGTAACTAACTCTCGCGATTATCGAGGGACCACTCTGTAATTATTTTGATGTTGTTAATATATTACATACTGTACAAAATATCTTGCCAATAAAGGAACTTGAGAGAGAGAGATAAATACACAAAAAATGAGTGACCCCAACTCTTATCATTTTAAAGCCCTCAAAAACCAAGAAATAACATTGAAAACTGTCCCCTGATTCAGATGATCCTGAAGCTACAAACACAAAACAACACAACAAATATGACAAACGCGGACATGCTCATCCACAAAATTTGACCCCATCAAATTATAAAATCACGAAAAGAAGAGTATCTAATTTTTTGGAATGAAGCAGCAGGAAAACAAAGTAAACTTGAATGTTATTTAGACATAAAAAGAAATTATACAACAGCAGCATATTCACTTTTTTCTATAGAGCTTTTACAATGTAGATTGTGTCAGCATATCTGAGTGCTAGATTATTATAAATGAATCATTGTAAATAAGCGATTATTAGTTTTTATAATTACTGTTTTATCCATAAATGTTGATTGTTAAATAAAGTTTATTCAGATTTTTTTATTTGTTTTATTTTATTATTATTATTATTGTACTATATAATACTATAGTACTATGTTTTTTAATATATATGTATGTTCCTAATGTAAACTTTTCTAAATGCTTTGGCAAGACATTTGTAACATTTCTCATGGCAATAAAGCAATTATTGAATTGAATTGAATTTCTTTTTTATTTTAACAGACTTTGTTCTTTAACTCATTGAAAAGAAACTGTGTATGAGAGTGTCATAATAAATAAAAAATATTGTTAAAATTAAATTTTTGTTCGTCACATGTAGTTAACCCTTTATGTGCCATGGGTAAAATGCATTTCAATCAGGCTACCACTGCAAGTATATTTTAAACCTGTGGGAAGCACTGCTCTCTGTCCAGTTCATTTTCTCAGCTTCTCAGCACAATCCTGATTATGCAGTACTTTCTTTATACTCAAATGTCCAGAGAAGTGGCTTACATGAAAATACCTCATGCCATTTTTAGTTTGCCTCGACATACAGTACAAACAAATAAAATCTACATATATGGAACATCTACGTTTTAGTGACCCCTAGTGTCTGTTCTGACCTAAAGTCGAATTTCCTCTATCAGAAATTGGACACTAACAGACGTTTCAGCATGAGGAGTGATAATTACTTAAATTGTTTCCTCCTGTTTTTTTTTTTTAACAGATATCCAGGAATTTTACGAAGTGACCTTATTAGATACTGAGAGATGTGGGGAATTGGTGAAAGTGCCCGATGCATTGCCTCCAGTCAACCTGTGGGACTTCTCCAGCATCCAAAGCACAACGGTGACTTCAGACACCCTGCCCAGCCTTAGCACCAGCATAGAGGTAAGAGTTCTCCAATGTGTGGTCTTCTCAATCAGAAACAGACCTCATCGATCGATATCTGAAAAATCTGGTCTGTGTTTTTTTTTAGGTCAGTTGATGCTGTTTTAATTTTTGTATGTCATTCAGTGTCATGCTTTTATCATCTCACAGCCTGAAACGATGTTGGCTTGGCTCTTTCTTTTGCATTCAACTCATGCTTTAAAATGAGTGTAACAACCAAATACAACCAAACTTGACCTGTGGTGGATTGAATGTACGGATAGATGGCTATCTTACATATTAAGCTTGCTAGGGCCGTTTTGCCCTTCAGCTTTATTTGTAACTGTTCTGAGTGGGATAGGATATTAAACGTGAGTGTGTGTTTTCTATCACACCCTTTGAGTAATCATAACCCAATACAATCATAAAACACAGTGAGGAAATTTCATTCATTCATTCATTTTCCTTCGGCGTAGTCCCTTATTTATAAGGGGTCACCACAGCGGAATGAACCGCCAGCTATTCTGCCATATGTCTTAAGGCTGATTTATACTTTTGCGTCAAACGCACTCGTATGCTACGGCGCAGCCTACGCGTCGACGCATAGCTCTACGCCGTGGCCGTTGGTGTCGCTGACGTGCACCTCTCAAAAAATGTAACTGCAAGCGCAAGCTCTGTGATTGGTCAGCTTGGTAGGGCTGACGAGTGTGGGCGGGACCGAGAGCCGCGCGAGCCCGATGGAGCGATTGTTTACAAGTGTGGAGTCCCGTGAAGGAGCTCCGGATGGAAAGTTTTGTTTTGTGTTTACCTCATAGTTAAAGTTGTTGCACGTCCGCCGGTTCCTGCCTCAAAATGAGCGAGTTTGAGCCACTTGTACTTCCCGGAAGCATTCAGAAAGACCAAAACACAGGCGAAGAAACTCGACACAGAGACACATTTACACCTCACTGCCAACTAGCGTTTTGGAAATGTTAATGCAGACCAACAGAGACAGCGCGCAGAAGTAAAAATGCACAGCTACGCGCGTTGCATGCGCCGTTGGTTATGCTGGTCACTTGACGCAGAAGTATAAACCAGGCTTTACACAGCGGATGCCCTTCCAGCGGCAACCCAGTACTGGGAAACATCCATACACTCTTACATTCACACACTATGGCCAATTTAGTTTGGTTTAGTTTAAACTTTATTGTCCGTTCTGCTTGACACAGAAAGAAAAATTTTTCTTCAGCACTGGATTTAGGACAACAATTACAAACATACAACAATGACACAATAACAACACTCATCAAGACAACAACGTAAGTTAAAAGTTTAAAGCTCATCCAATTCACTTGTAGCGCATTGTTTTGGATTGTGGGGGAAACCGGGCCACCTGGAGGAAACCCACACCACCACGGGGAGAACATGCAAACTCCACACAGAAATGGCAACTGACCCAGCCGGTACTAAAACCAGCGACCTTCTTGCTGTGAGGCGACAGTGCTACCCACTGAGCCACCGTGCTGCCCACAATCAACTTAAAATTGCAAAAAAAAAAAAAAAACACCTTAACATTAACTTAATCGAGTTGCATTAAGAAGACATGAAGGGATTGTGTGGAATTGTGTGTTCATGTGATACAAACTACCATACTTAAAGCGATGTGCCGTTTATATGCAGAGGAAGAGAAATGCTCAATCTAAGCTTTACGTGTTAATTAGGGTCGGGTCTATAGATGATGCCATTGTCCATCGCAACTTATCCAGCACGTTTTTACGCAGCGGATGCCCTTCCAGCCGCAACCCATGTCTGGGAAAATCGCAATACTGTGAAACCGTGAAATTTTTATCCAAGGTTATCATACTGTCAGAATCTTATACAGGCCCATGCCTATTATTTAGTCCTTCATTTAATCGGCAGAATGATTTCGAATGCAATAAATCTGTTAATATGAAACGTGTTGTAATGGTCAAAATAACACATGTCAATATTTTTTGAGACCCCGACCCCCCCCTCCCTTAAAATTTCACAGATCATGTTTTCAGGGGAGCCTATGTCTTAATTCTGGAGCTGAGCTATAATCCCAATGTGACCCATAACTATTGTGGATGTGTACTTTACAATGTCAGGGCTGAAACAAAATATTGTGTAATTCTATTTTATATCAGTTACAGTTGTGACAAATCCAGAATCCAGTTGGACATAGTTTGTCTATTTAAGTTTACTCAACATGTTTCAACATGTGGCACAATTATGAACAAACTAAGTGGATCATGAGAAAATAAAGGTGCCTTTTGTTCACAGATTCCTGACAAACGGATGCTTTTAAACGCGGTGCACTTTCAGATTTAAGCCTTAGCTGGATATTTCACTTCAGTTAGAGCTGCGTTACACACTGCATGGAAGGTCATTTTTTCAGAAACCCATAATAGGGGCTCTTTAAAATTTTTTGTCTGTCTTGTCATGTTTGGTGCTTACATCCATATAGCTTGTCGCGTCATGTGTTGTTAAGACATGATGCAAACTTATACAACTTTATATTACAAAAAACAGACAGATTTCAGAACCTGAAAAAATCTCTTCCAGTGATCTGTCAATTAATGCATCTTCAGCATAGTTCTCATTTGTCATCGACTCTGAATTACAGTGCTTTCTAATATTTTGTCATAAACAAGCAAAATATTAGTTGTCTCTTTTCAAGCTTTGAAACTTCATACTAGAGGAATGTAGGTGACTGTAAATAAGCGTACCGAACTCACACCTCTGCCGTGTATTTCAATGTCCTTTCTCTTTTCCCTCTTGTTTCTTCCTGTGTTAATAAAACGGCCTCATCCAGGACTCTCCCCTCCTAAATGAAATCCTTCATGTGCTTGCTAAAGCCAAATCTTCCTCCAGTGACCTGGACCAAGTAAGTATGATCCGGCACGCGTCTGGTGGGTTTGGGCATCCCCCATGGCCGCATGTCTGGGCCGCTCATTTTCTCCTGCCTTGTTCTCAAAACCTCATCGACGGGGTTTTTCCTCCAAGAATAGAGGGACTCATGTGTCATTGTGCTCTCCTGTTGGGTCTGCTGTCGACGCGGGTCACAGTGGGATGCTAAATTTCGGTGGCCAGTCTGTTTGTGACATTTTCACAATTTTGTTTTAAACTTTGGGATTAAATTTGAAAATCTTCTGCATTGGTCAGCTTTGTAGGAAATGTTTATAATTTAGTTGTTAAAAATAACTGCAAAAAAGTTGAAGTATTTAATATAATTGTGAAAATGTCTGTGTATTGATATTTAAATACTTTATCTAAATACTGTATTAGGTTTTATTTTTATTTAGCAGTATATTATCTTATATTGTACATAGTATGTGAATTTCACCTCATGTCTTTTTTTAAATATATGGTAGGTAAATATATGGACCCCAGGGGGGGTTATAATACAACTTTCTCCTTGTTTGTTTTTCTATTTTGGGAAGTCATAAACGTGTCTGCTTTACTGTTGGAGAAAATGGGGATACAAATATATATGATATAGAAATGTATGTATGCATTTACATTTTATTCATTTAACACTTATATTCAATAAAAGCACTTTAAATCACCAGAATGCAGCAATTTTAAGGGTGCTTTCACACCTGCCTGATTTAGTTCAATTAAATCGCACTAGAGTTCGTTTTCCCTTTTGGTGCGGTTCGTTTGGGCAGGTGAGAATGCAGCAATCACCAAAAGCGGACCAAATAAGTGTACCGAGACCTGCTTGAAGAGGTGGTCTCGGTACGCTTTCAAACAAACCCTGGAGCGGTTCGTTTGTGGTGAGAATATGATCCGTACTAAAACAGGTCCAACCGCAAAAAGAACTGTGCCTTTTGGACTAATTCAGCTGCCGTAGGCCGATGCGCTGCGCATTATGGGATATGGAGGAAAAATATTTGTTGACAGCGCTTTACCAACAGAGAGAGAGAGAGAGAGAGAGAGAGAGAGAGAGAGAGGGGAAAACATTACCTGATGGATCGTTGGTAATATTTCCGCAAGATGACCATGTCACAGTTTAGCTAAATTAATTCACGCCTCCTCCTGAAGTGACGAGCGATGCATTAAAACCCTGTTTTCCAGCCGCGGCCGCGCTTCATTTTCAATATGTATAGTTTGTCTAAAGCAGGCATACAATCAGTCAGCGCATTCGTCCCTCCATAGTAAAAAGCGACATTTTATGTCTGCTTGTTTGTTTACTTGCTGGAGTTCATTGGCATTTTCCCAAACGTGAATTCTGACCAATCGATAAGCAGTTTAGGAAAAATGTTCAGCAACATCTGGCCAATGAGAGATGTGGATTTTGTCAGATGACTGCATTTTGGTTCGTTTCAACTGGTTTGGACCAAAGCCAGCAGTGTGGTGTGAAAACAACCCAAAGACGGCAGAAGATGCAACAATGTATCATTTATTACCCTTGGTGCGGACCAAATGAAGCGAACTACAGATGTTAAAGCACCCTTAGATGCCGTGACAAGTCTAACGGCCCGTTTCCACTGAGTGGTATGGTACAATACGGTACAGTGCAGTTCGGTACGCTTTTATGCTTCTTTCCACTGTCAAAAGGTACCAAAAAGCAAACTGTACCTAGCACAACAAAGCGTACCAAAAGGTGGAGCGAGACGCGCAGCTGAATGCTATTGGTTTACATGGAAGCGTCACTAGCGCTTACACAAGCCAGTAGAATGAATACAAAGGGAGCCATTTTTAAATACACAGCCGAGAGATGACACAGTAGAATATAATAATGAGCCATGGTCGACCTGAGCTCAAACAAACCTTGTCGTCGTCTTGATGAACAGCCACAAAGCCAAGAGGATCAAAATCTGACGTGTCCTGTTTTTGTTTTATAAATATTTTCTAAATAGCATTTAAGTTTTATAAACGGGATTTTTTTGCAATGTAAATGAATTAAACCAAAAACAAACTAAATCGACAATTTTGTGAACTATCCTACTCTTAATGAACACCCATGTGTATGAAAATGATAAAAATATTTGTTTAAAAGCAACTTGGTGCTCCGAATGAATTTAGTAGCAATTACAAGGTGAAGCCAATAGGTGGCGACTATCAACCATTAAAAATGTATGCCACTGAATGATTTTTCAAAAATGATCGATCTGGGAATGAAACATGATGCTTTTATGAGTGAGTTACTGAATCAATAATTGAAAATAAGATTTGTTATTACTCTTTTTTTTGTGTGTGTGTGTGTGTTTTTGTCAGGAACAGTAGTAAGGGCTAAACTCGCTTGAGATGAAGTCTTTGACGATGAAACCCTTTAGTATTAATTGAGCCATATTTGAAGTTTGCTTAATAAAATTAATTTAAAATTTATTTATATATATATATATTTTTTTTTGCATACCATACATTACTGCACTATTTCTCAGTTTGTCTTTAAAAAGCACTGATTGGATTTCAGTTTCCACACTGCTCTGATTGGTCATCTGACTTAGTAAATCATGATTAGACAAAGTATGTGCCAGTAATGAAACATCCATATCATACTTGTGAAGACTTGGCTTATACACAACTTGAGCTAAACATTTATCAGTGGTAAGTTTTTCTTTAGTAAATAACTTAGCTTTCATAAATTGTTATGTTATGACAATACTCTGCACTTTTTCTTTGTGTGTGCCTTTTGGCTTCTTTCCATTATATAATATTTAACCTAAGCAGATCATAATGACGGAGGCACTGAACAAAAAATACTTTGGATGCTAAAATATCTCCAAAAAATGATAAGACTTTGAAGTGCTTTGTATTTCCCCTAGCTAAGCTCTGACTTGAATATGAGCACCCCACCATTAGCACTATTTTACTGGAAACCGTGTAGTAGATGTTTACAACGTCGTGTTAATTTTGATCCCTTTGATCCAACCCCCTTTTTGCAACTGCAGCATGCACTGGTACAGAAGCTTCTTCCTTTGAAGGGAAGGGCTAATCACTGGGCACATCAAATATTTATTCTTACACTGCATTTCAGGGCAATCTACTGTATGAGCTATATAAAGGCTGCTTTTACACCGTCTCTGCAGCGTTAAAATGTGTGCGAGGAGACTGATGGTGGGGCTGCATCAGCTGGGAACAGGCTTGAAATCTGCCAGAACACTTTCTCTGTGGGGTGTCTGGATTTCTCTCTCACTTTCAAAGCCGTCAGTCTTTTTACAGGATGTGGCAAACTAAGTTATCAGTGAATTAATATCGCAGGGAACATTTAAAATTTTCAGAACATGGTATTTTGATTTGCCGATAATTAATAGCAAGTTCAAGATGAAGCTTTGATTATTTTGAAGAGTCCTCATATAATTGCATTTGTTCTGGCTTGGCAAGGGATGATCACCAGTTTCAAGGTTTACCGTAATTTGGGAAATGCTAAAATAACGTTTCTGCAGTATCTATATTTTCCCCCCTTTTTTTTATTAGGGCTGCACGATTAATCAAAGATCACGATCTCGATTCGACCCTACACACAATCTTAATTCAGGTTTTTTTACGATTCATCCAATTATATTTTCAAGGTTAGGAGAGAAGGCAGTCGCACAAGTCTTCACAGCAACATTGACACCTTTTAAATGGCATTAAAAGTTTCTAATACTGTATTTATAAGATATAATTCACCCAAAAATGTAATTTCTGTCTTCATGTAATGATGTATTCACGGCTGCAAAATCACTACTGAGCTGACCGCAAGGTGTTTGTTTACTTCTGAGAACACGCGCGTGCACGCATGACGCCTACTTTAGTGAAAACAACCTGCATAGGCTGTGAATAACAGGTAATAAAGTTGTAAACAACTTTCAGTTTGTTGCACAGAGCGATCGTTTGAGGGCCGTGCGGGAGGTTTGATTTACATGTATGTGTTTTTTCTCACAGTTACAGCAGCCATGAGCCGCACTCGGAAGTGAAAGTGAAACCTGTGTGCACATCATTTAAATGATCAAATCGCATTTTAGAGTTATGATTACAACAAGCATCTGATATGTTTTTTCTTTTATAGCGAACGCAAAGTGTTGTGCATGAAAATAAATGTTTACTGTATCAGTATTACAACCCTAGCCTATATTTAATGTTGATTATAATGCAAGGAATCTGATAATGACAAAATTCTAATTTTACCAGTGAAAACAAATGGTCTTATAATGTTGTTAATGATGGATGAAAAGCATGTCTTAAACATAATAATTCAATTTTATAATTATGAATAGTTGTATTCTGATTTCTGTGAATTAACAAACAGGAGATATTGAAAGTCGGTTCAAGTCCACCATAATGACTATACATAATTTAGCATTTTAATAGGCTAATCATATTAACCTTTATTTTACATTTACAAAATAGTGAGAAAATCCTGATCTCGATTTTTAAGAAAAAAAAAATCATGATTCACATTTTTGCCAGAATCCTGCAGCCCCACTGTCAATCCTTTTTTTATTGCAACATGATCTCGAGCAGCAAAGTCAACAATTTATTTTGAATTATTTAGCTTGACATATTTAGAATATTTCTGAAAATAAAATACATTGTTTTCAATGCAAAGAAAAGTTGCTGTTTGTTTATCCAGACATTTAAAAACCTGTATGCATGTGTGTTAATTTAGGGGTGATTGTTCTACTGCTGAGACGGGAGGCGATGTGGCGTGAAATTCTTTCCGATGTAGTTTAAAGTATCTTTTTGTCACTTTTTTTTACTCGTTTAGCCTGAATTATAATGCATTTCGTGTAGAGCTACACAATGAGTTGTTTAAAGATCACAATTTAAACAGCTACAGGATAAAATAAATATAAATGATCACAATTGGCATGCATTTATTAATTCTACGATAATTATACACAAACAAATACATAGTCACAGATGAACTGGGATAACCTTTTAATAGTTTACATA